GGGCTTTTAAATCTGCAGCAGAGTGATGTTAAATTAAATTGTTACATCGGTGACTATGGCATGCTAGTCTGCTATGTACTTGAGTGGGCGGGTGGAGTGTTTTTGGGAAGGGGGTGTAAAGTACCACTGGTCTACAACATCCCACCCACAAAAAGATAAATGTAATGTAATGTAATGTAATAAATGTAAATGTAATGTAATAAATGTAATGCAGCGGGATAACTTCTACAGTTATTATGTTAGTGATGATGCCTCTTTGCTTTTCATTTATTCACAGCTTTGTGGCGTACGATGGAGTGTCAGGGCCACATTAAGATGATAACCTGCCACGGCTGCAGTACCCTCTACAACACGGCTTGTGTCGATGATTTAGTGAAGCAAACTGATCAGCTGTCTCATTGTGTCTTTTGTGTGTTTGGTTTTGTGTTTTCAATGAACTGAAAGCCCTCTTTAATGCACGAGGGTGTGACCATCCACATTCTCTCATCTGTCCAGTGTCAGCCATTCATTTTGTGCAAATGGTCAAGTCTTCCAAGTGTGCGTGCTTTTCCTTCTGAGTGCTTTTCCTTCAGCGTCTGTGTTACTCGCGTCCAGCAGATGGCAGTGTTTCACTGTCTGACGGCTGTCTGAAGCTTCAGCTGGATTATCCGTTTGCTATGTTTGCCATGTTACAGTGGGGAGGAAAAACTCCTTTTTAACAGGAATATCTAGACATGAGTGATTACTGCAGTGGGGCACTATCTGTGCTATCTATAAGAAATGTTAGCAACAATAAAACTCTGAGGATCAGGGCTCCATTTCACTCCAGTGTTCAGTGGCATTTTAAAAGAGTGAATACCGACGCTGAATGTCTTTGTAAAGCAAAAGCACTTTGTTAGCCTTTACAGAGCAAAGCTATGGATCAATGTGCAGTGAAGAAAAATCGAGGTGGCCAGTCTGTCCTTTCCTAACCAATCACAGAGCTCCTTACATTGCACCATGTGGCTAATTTGCGTTTTACTGATATTGCTGGGCTGCTGTCAATCATTTTGTCTTTATATTACAACAGAGCATTGACCTTTAACCTGTTTAATTCATACTGAGTATTTTTTTAAAAATGTATTGTCATAATAAATTGTGCCTCACTGAAAACCATTTTGCATTAGCCTCTATCACCTGACTTGTCACTGATGATATCACTGCATGAGCAGGCGAGCGGTAGCGGCGGGGGGGGGTAGGTGAAGCTCGTGAAGAACAAAATTCTGTACGAGCGGACGCAGTGAGTCCAATAACCAGGGGTAACTGGAAATAAGGTGTTGTAGGTTGGCTTCCACAGTGTAAAGAGACACTTCTCCCTCATGCTCTAACAGCTGGTAAATCAATTTAGAAGCAGAGTCGATAACGGCCTCCTGAAGCTCCCTAGGTGGGGTGACTGCCGCTGGATCCATATCTGGCTGGTCCGTACTGTCACGGCGGGTGAGGAGAGCCGTGTGAAAATAATGAGGATCCAATCGCAGGCAGTAGTGGAGAAGTGAAGGTGGTTTATTGAACACAAAAATAAATATGGACAAACAGCAAATGGAGCACGAAGTAAACTAGACTGGAAACAACTAAACTACAGAGCACAGAAAGATGTAAAAATCTTATACGTTATATATGTTAAATAACATGTGTAGTGCTCACATGTAATGCAGATGTTAGCTTTGATCTAACCAATAAATCCTGATTGGATGTTGTTAGCGTTAGCACTTGTGTTTGCTTCCCTGCTGTACAACAGCATTACCAAAATACAACTGAAGAAACAAACTCAGTTATGAAAAGTTTGTGTTCAGTTTGCAGTCGCTGAAAATAATTACACCTTTGGGAATGACATGGAAATGTTCCCACACTAAAGATTGGGTTTTGTTTTGGGGATTTTCCATCTTAATTTATCTGTCTTATTTGGCTACATCTACGACACTGCTATGCTCTCTCTTGCCTATGTTTTCGTGGCTGCTGCTATCTGTATTTTAATATATATATATATATTTATATATATATATATATATATATATATATGCAATGAAAATTCCCGTCTCGCCCCTCCCGGCAGTCTGTATACTTTAAGCTCGGGTAGTTTTTACACAGGATACGGGAGAATTATTGAGAAGAACCTAAGCAAACACGTGACAAGTTTTCAACAGGAATGAATGACAGTAAAAATGTTACCTCACAGATCGTTTTCATGCCATCAGTAATGAGCTGGTTTCAGCTGGACTGGACACACTCAAATGGCAAAGAAGGTTGTGTAGCCTTTGCAGAGAAGATGAAATGCATTCATGTAAATCAAAATGCATCTTTTAATTGAGGTAGAGGTTTGTCAGAGATATTATTCTCATAATGTACCTTTGTCCCAGCTGATTACCTTCATTAAACAGCAGGTTGCAAAAACCTCTTGTGTACCTCTTTTCAACCACTGGGAGGCGCTACAGCTTCATTCCTTTCACACTAAGGCAGCGGTAGGGAACTCCAGGCCTCGAGGGCCGGTGTCCCTGCAGGTTTTAGACGTTCCCTACCCCTGCACTAAGGCCTTTGAAATCGTCATTAACACTGAGCTTGAAATTTCTATCAGTCGAATGCAAAGGAGTCCTGTGGTTGTAGGACAGAGGTAGGGAACGTTAATCTGCCATCATTTAGATTATATGACAACCTTCAAATCTGAAGTCTCAGAAATCTGCTTCATGTACAAGTTCCTCCAATAATCAGGGCTAATATCACCAAATTGTACATAAACAGACTTTTGCATGTTAAATATTTCTCAAATATGGGGAAAAAACAATATAAAATACTATATTATTAACAAAATATCTTAAGATACAGCTACAAATTGCTTGAAAGATTTGCAATGAAATATATAAAACAGCTTTATTGTCAGTGAGGACAAAGTTATAGTGATGCTGTGCTGGAGTGTTCAAAAGAAGACAGAGACATGAAGTATAAATATTGTATAATATTAAATATAAGAAAGAACAAAGTTATAAAAACATTAATAATTGAAATCTGCAACAATATTCACATAAAGTGTAAAATACAGAGTTAACTGTTTAATAGGTAAAGTTTAGGTCTTGCAGTCGAACAATGATCCCAAACACAGCAGCAAATCTACAGCAGAATAGCTGAAAAGCAAGGTCCAGACCTCAACCTGGGACATTCAGAGAGCTGTGCTTAAATAAATGCCCACAAAGCTCAAAGAACTGAAGCAACGTTGTAATGAAGAGTGGGCCAACATTCCTCCACAACAATATGAGAGACTGATAAAGTCAAGCAGAAAACAATTACCTCACATTTGTGCTGCTAGAAGTGTTTCTAGTTATTCACAGGACTGTAGTTTGAATTTAAAGAAATGTGAAAGTGCACTGAAATTAACATAAAGTTATTGCAATTTTAAAAAAAAATCAAGAAATCTAAGAGGAAGAAACAAGGTAAACCACACAATTGTTTTCCTTATATTCTCCACACGGCAATGCACATAACAGACATAAAATATTTGCATTTATCAATAGAAAATATACAATTTTTCCATAGTCATAGCCAGGCCCGATTACTGCCAAACCTGTGCTGAATCAATCACTTAAACAGGACCTGTCTGACAAAGTAGAGTAGACCAAAAGATCCTCAAAAACTACACATCATGGCGCAATCCAAGGAAATTCAGAAGTAAATAAGAAACAAAGTAATTGAGATCTCTCAGTCTGGAGATGCAACGTCAAGATGAACAGAATCCAGTTTCTGGGATCCTGAAGGAGAATGTCTGGCCATCTGTTCACGACCACAAGCTGAAGTGCACTTGATCCAAAGCACACCAACAAGTCCACCTCTAAGCAGCTTAAGTAAAAAAAAGAAAGACTTTGGAATGGCTTAGCCAAAGTTCATACGTGAATCTGATTGAGGTGCTGTGACCTTGGAAAGGTGGTTCATACTCAAAACCCCTCCAGTGTGGCTGAATTACAACAATTTTGCAAAGATGAGTGGGCAGAAATTCTTCCAGCACCTCGTAAAGGACTCATTGCCAGTTATCCCAAACGCTTTATTGCAGATGTTTCTACTCAGGGTGGCCCAACCAGTTATTAGGTTTAGGGGGCAATCACTTTTTCCACACAGGGCCATAATAATGGCCGCCTTAATAATAAATGCCTTGATTTAGGAACTACTTTTAATGTTTACTTGTGCTATTTTGCAAAAAATAAAATCTCTGCAAAAACATCAAAACTGCTGACCATCTGACCTCAATATGAAATTATTAATCTTTTGACAAAAAACATTTAGATTTGTAAAAATAAAGAAACCATAGAGGAACAAACAATGTTGTTTGCTACGTTCTAACATGGCAATCTAAATAACAGTAATGCAAACATATATATTTATCAATAAAAACAGATCGCCTTTTCACTGTTACAAAAGTCAAGTACATCAATGTTTGTTCAGCTTTCATAAATGTAAGTTTGTAAGTACATAGTACATTTTTTGGTCCAACTTCTTTTAATACATGCAACACATTTCAGAACATTTGGGACAGAGACAACAAAAGACTGGAAATACTTCGTAAAAATCTGGTGAAACACTTTAAAGCCAGTGGGATTAAATGGGAAACACAAAATTTAATACTAGACAAAGACCGATTGAATCATGAAGCAAAGAATTAATAACTAAATCACAAGTAGAAAATGTTATGCAGATATTATTGGATAGATTTTGGTGTAGAAAAAAATGACAAGAAATGAAAAATGAAAGTTATCTGGTCTTTTTCTTTAAAGAGTAGCCTACTGCAGAGCAGCAACACTGACAAAGACCATCATCACCAATACTGCAGCTAATACAATGATCCAGGAGGAAACTTGAAAAAGCAGGAAAAATGTGACACTGATCAAAATGAATACATCAATTATTGATCAAAGAGAAAATGCATACTACCACAATGCATTGTTATTGCATCTCAGTTTCTCACCATCACTGATAATCTGACGTCTGCTGGATCTCAGGAATCGTCTCCATCACCTCTCTGTGAGGAGCAGAGAGCACTCGTGCTGCACATCCCACCTGTGTGCTGTGTTTACGTGAACCTGAGAGCACAGCTGTAGTGGTGACAGTGAATGTAGCGTTGGTGTTGGACACACTGACAGTGTTGTACTGTGAGAAGCTGAGGTCTTGTTGTGAGAGTGTTACAGTGGGAGCAGGTCGACCAGTGGCTGAACAGGAAACAACCCACTCTTCAGCAGAGTTTGACTCTCTGACATCAACAGCAGGTTCATGCAGCTCTGTGAAGGATCAGGAGATATAAAATAAGGAGTATATTGTTAAAGATACATTGACTTCTAACACATGTAACGCATTAAGGTAAAATTTCTTACCATAAGGATGTGTTACACGATTTATAAACCCCAGTTTGTTAATTATTTGTTCATTATTCATAACTATATACTTAATTTTTTAAAAATTAAGTGTTTTTGGTCAAATGGAATTTCTTTTTGGGTAATTCTAGCCCCTTTTAGCCCTCTGCCAAAATGTTTTAACCTTTCTGTCTCTAACAGTAAAACATCGTTCCTTTATCTTCTGTGTCTGGTGTGTTGGTCAGGATTAGCTAGCTTGGCAAAAAGTTCACATTAAACAAAGTGTGTTACTGTGAGGTGTGTGTTCGTACTATGAGTCACAGCTCGAGTTTTCTTGTGGGTGAAGGTTTTTCACCTCGCTGTCATTCTTGCATAAAAGTGTTTGACCCCTTCAGGAAAAAAACGAAATTTGGGATTATTTTTTGTTTTGTTCATTGTGTGTATTTGTTTCTACTTTTTACTTTTTCTTTTACTGTGTACAGCACTTTGGTCAACCTGTGTTGTTTTTAGACATGGTGATTGATTGATTGATTGATTGATTGATTGATTGATTGATTGATATGTCTTTGATTAAAATACAGCCTACTCCACATCCTCCAAGTTACAGAGAAGAGGAACCATCTGGGGTGAACTTGTGCACTTGGTATTGGCTGTCATGGTCCCTGTGCCTCTCCGGCTCGCTCATGTTGGCCACAGGTTTGTTTTGTTTTCTCTCCTGCTTCCCTGGGTGGAGCTCATTGTGGGCTCTCACCCTTGGCCCACGTATCTGCGGTGATTTCTACACCTGTTGCTGATCAGGCGGCGTCCCCCTTGCCTATTTAACGCTGCGGCACGGAGTATTCGGCACTGGAACGTTGAACCTCCCATGTTCGTGCTCTCAGCTCTCCTAAGACAAACTCTCTCAGTGTTGTGTGGCGTATTGATCTAATTGGACTCTTTGTGTTTAGATCTCCCCGGAACTGGTGGCGGACCCTGACCTGTGATCCCTGTGTGTGTCAACATAAGTGGAAATTGGAGCGAGAGTGGCTGTGGAGAAGCGAGTGTGCGTAAGAAGAGGAGTGGCGGAGTTTGGGCCGAGTGGGGAGCGAGTGTGGATTCCTTCCCCTGGAGCCCTGAAGCCCTGCCCCATTCACTGTATATACACATCACTGTGGTTTCCCTTCTGTGTTCATAAATTGTCAACCCTTTGCTTGCCAGAACGCTGCCTGCGTCTGAATCCATCTGTTAGCCCTGACATTGGATACCTGGAAATCAGTGAAGGGACCATTAATGCTTAAACTTGTACACAGGTTTGAGAGCAACCACCCAAAAGCTTCTGCTAATAAACACTAGTCTGTGTTTGTGATGCAAATGTTTCTGGCTGTGTTCACAAACATTTAGTAAGGTGAGTGAGGAATATTAATACTTATTATTAGATCATTAGCAGACTGTAGAACTTGACTGCACGCCAAGGTGGCAGTTCAGCCATTTGATTCATGTTGCAGCAGCTCATGAGTGAATGAACATCGTGCTAGAGATGGCACGATACCACTTTTTTATGTCCGATACCGATACCGATATCATAAATTTGGATATCTGCCGATACCGATATGAATCCGATATAGTGTTTTTTAATCAACAAAACTGTTTTTTAAAATATCTTGCTGCATTTTGCAAGTCTGCAAGTTCATACTCAAGTTTAAAACAACAACTACACTAAAGCTATTCTGTTATACCTGTATACAAAAAATATATTTCATAGTTCAGCAATACTGATCAATCTAATAAACTTAGACCTACACCAGCCTCCCTATTCTGGTATTTTAAAGAGTACTTAGCGTAAATATTAAGCAACCTAACTAATAGGGTTCCAACTCCCAGCAACAACAAAAATAAATAAATAAAAAATAGGGAACCACCCCTCACACTCCACCTCATGATGCTTAATCGACGTAATCAACCTTAATTTGATGCAGTGTGAAAAAAAATGCACAGAAATCAATTATTTTTCAAGAAATATTAAATAGATTCAACATCTTTCTTCAACAAAATTGCAGACTGCACAGATGGTACCTTCCCAAAGTAAAAAGTACTATAGCTTACTAGGGTATATATATTAGACTTAATAGTCACTATATACAGTAATTGACTTCTATTCATTTTACATCAAATTAAAACTTTGGGTGTCAGATAATTATTTATTAAAAGCTCGACATTTTAAATGAGAATAAGAAAGAAAAGTATGTCTTTGTGCCCCCTTTTCCCTGTTCATGCCCTATCGGCCCCCTGGCTAAACTTTGCTAGATCCGCCCCTGCACAGTTACCAGCGTCAGCTACGTAGAAAAAGATCCTCGAGTAGAAAGTAATATTAAATAAATTCTAACAACAGCTTATCAAGCTTAAACGTTCTGCTGTTGTTCAGCCGCTGGTTTCCTCTTTCTGGTGCAAAGTGGGCCAAAAACAAACAAGAGACACGGACTCGCGACAGAAAAGCCGATCAGCTGATCATTTAAGCAGTTTCATGATTGAAGTAGCAGCAGGAGAGCGAGAGGCAGTCGCTTGTTAAGCTTAACGTGGGAATGCTTTACAAACATTCAGAGATGGACTTACACACTTGCTTTACTTCTCTCGGGGATAACTTTGTCGGAGATGAAATGCCAGGTTGCTAGCGAAGCTCCACATGCTATCTAGACCACCTACAGGTCCGGCATGCCACAGCTGCTCTATCACGTGATGCATACTGCTCCGACTGCTAACGTTCTGAGGTGAGTTACGGCGTGTTGCAAGTTTTGCCAGGTGCTTTCGTGATATTTAATGGATCGGATTACATTTTTTATTTTTCTCCGATATCCGATCCAGTAATTTAGGTCAGTATCGGACCGATACCGATACGTAATATCGGATCGGTCCATCTCTACATCGTGCAATAAAAGTAATTCTAGAAGTACATTTTTGCAAAAACGGACATTGTGGAGGAATGTAGGGAAGACACGAGGGAGCCCAATATTTGACTCAAACGTTAATCGCTGCATCACACAACTGAACATTCAAAGTGCCAAAACCTAACCCTCTCACTTCCCGTTACACTGGGTACGAGTGGAGCTACCTGGTGGTATGTACTTACATTTATTTAAATTTACTTGAGTAGGGTAGAGTCATGCTAATGACCTAATAATTTTATTCAGGTGTGTTGCAGCAGAGATACATTTAAAATCTTCAGCACGCTGGCTCTCAAGGCCTGGAGTTTGACACCCCTGCTTTACACAAAGATGGGTTAAATCACAGTGCAAAGAATGAATGAATAAATGAAATATAAAAAATAAATAATTATTAAATAGTCTTACACATCAATGTCATTGGTTAACTTTTGAAGTATTTGAATCCTTATTGGGTTCCCTGAGTGACAGAAGGATTAAAACACTTTAAAATCAGTACTGAAAATATGTGCAGACATTACTGGATAGATTTAGGGTTAGAATCAATAAATCACTATCATGTTAAACACTCTTAGAGTTCAAACCTTCGTAGAAACATAAGTCCAGTATCATGGAATGAAACCTGAAGGTGCATTTGAGGGTGCAAAACGTTTCGTCGGCATTGTTGTGTTTGTTTGGGAGAAAACGTACAAACACACAGTGCAGCACTTCAGAGTTACACTGCTAGCGATCGAAGATTTATGTAAATTCGACAAGCTAAACGCATTCTGTACTGTACAGCAGGAGTCCCCAACCTTTTTGCACCACAGACCACTTTAATGTCAGACAATATTTTCAGGGAACGACCTTTAAGGTGTCGCGGATAAATACAACAAAAGAATAAAAAAAAGAAACTGTGGTATTTTGTAAATATAATAATAAACGTGACTTGAGCTGTGCGCCAACAACAATGACAGTGACGTCCTCCTCTCTGCTTTTTAATGCTCTCTGGTCACTATGGTAACGCGTAAATAGTTCTTTCAAAATAAGACACAACTACAACCATACATTTCACACCGGAGGATCAACTCTCGCGGAACGGTACCAAAAGACTCACGGACCGGTCCGTGGGCCTATTAGGGACCGCTCCTGTACAGGAGACACTGGACTAGATTGATTGACAATGGTCTACAGCAATCAGAACGCACAACACGATGTACTGTAAAAAAAATAAATGAATCAGCGAAACAGCAAGTGTCACTTTTGGCCACGAACAATTTAGGGGATTTTTTTGAACAAACCCAGAGTGTTAAAAAAAACTTAAAACCATTTTTATTTCTCAGCAGCATCAATAGTAACAAAAACGCAATTTAGTTTCGCTGTCAAAGTCGATTTAACTGAAGTTACGTGTTTCCGGTTACTGTGGAGCTCCACAGTGGCTGCAGCCAGAAGCTGTTTCTACAGGATCCTGATGGACACTCAAAGCTTTTAGAAAATGTCCTCATTAGTTGTTTGCAGCAGAATATCAACCGATGTGAATCAAAACAACAAAAGTGCTCTGCACATGTGTGTGAGACTACAGATTCTAGAATCAGAACTGCTGATTTCATTACTCTGAACTTTTAAAGGCAGGTTTTGTATCTGAGAGCAGGGACACTTGCTGTGTTCAGTGTGACTCGTCTCTGCAGAAGGTCAGGGCTCTGATAGTTGCAGTTAGCGGGTGACTTACTGGGCAGGTGGCTCCTGAGTGTCTGTTGGAGTCAGGGTTCATTATGGTCCTGGTTGCTACTGGAAATAAAGAAACAAAAGGAGTGTGTGATGTTCAGGAAGTACAGACTGTAGCTCAGCAGGTAGAATTACTAACTGGAAGGTTGGAGGTTTGATCCCTGGCTGCTCCAGTCTGCACGCCACGGTATCCTTGGGCAAGATGTGGAACCCCGACTTCCTCTCCGATGCATCCATCATAGTGTCATTGTTAGAAAAAGAAGTGCTTGTGTGAATGAAGCACGCTGTATAAAATGCTTTGACTGCTCATACAGAAAAGCAGCTCATAAGAACTGGTTCATTTTCCAGATAATTCCACTATTAAGACAACAGACATTTGGGAGGCTTTCTCTGAGAGTAACACTGAAAGTCTTGCTGCTCCTCCACAAAATGAACTTCAGATTAAAGACACAGCTCAGCTAAACACAACTCAAACTAATCTACACTATTTTTCTTTATTACGCAGCGTTTTTATAACTATTTCCAGATGTTTCTAAAGATGGAAACAGAATTAAACTCCAGCCTGATGCGTTTCTGAGGTTCCTGACTCTGACCGTCCCTCAAACGCCTCTCTGATCGTTTCCTTCCGTCGCTTTTACTTTCGCTTTCGTGAATGTTGTGGCGCAGTTGATCGTCTCGAAGTTAAGGTAACGTTAGCAGTCTGTACTGTTTTCCTGGCTGACATCAGCTGTGTGCAGCTTAGTTTCAGCATAAATCTGCTTCGTTTTATGTGAGATCAGAGTCTGGGAACGAGACAGAAACAGTTGATGATCAGCAGCTGAACTCGATGTTACTGTGGATCCACTGACTGATGTCTGTAGGCAGCTTCTGCCTCCATCAGTCTGTTACGGAAGCCCGTTTCCGCCACAAAAAAGGATCCATTCTCGAAATTTCGACTTATAACTCGAAAATGTTGAGAAAAGTAGCTCGAAATGTCGAGTTAGTTCTAGTGATGGGACGTTCTGTATCGAGGCTTCGGAGCGTGTGTCGAGTAATGGAGGGGGCGTTTCCGCGAAGCGCGTATCGAGGCTTGCTTCATTTATGGGAGGAGCTGAAAATGATGACGTCCGAAGCCTCGCTGCCCGGTTGTACCACGTGACTGGTTCAGGAAGCGGTTCGAACTTTGCCGCAAATAATCATTTTCCATACTGCCAGTATAAATATACACAGTATACTGCCATCACTACAATATACATGTTTTACACACTACTTTTGTTGTTGACATTTACAGGCTGTGTGCAAAATGCCACACTCTTCAAATTCATGCCAACTAATATTTTTACGTCCAGTAGGTGTCCTACTAGAGCAAATGAAGCTTCAAGAAGCTTCGCGTTGGGGTGAACCAATTGGATGAAAAGCTTCAGTGCTTCATGGGGCTTCATCTGCCCATCACTAGTTAGTTCTGCCAATCAGTAATCCAGCTACAATGCGCACTCAAACCCGCATCGCAACAAACCGGCGCTTTCGAGAGTACGTTAGCTGATATTAACGCCATGTGATTCAGCTAATAACAGAAGGACTTCATCATTTGTGAAGCCACACAGACAATAATCAGCGACTTGTGCATTTATGACTGGCTGTAATTCTGGTGTCTTAGCTGTAGCATTTGTAGCTGAGGGCTTCAGCTTCCGGGTAACAAGGAAATTACGTCATTCACGTAAATGACTGATTGACAGCACTAACTCTTAATTTTGAGTTAGTTTTTTCAAAATTCCAAGTTAATAAGTCGAAATTACGATAAAATAAGTCGAAATTTCGAGTTCTGGATCCTTCTTTTTTTTAGTGACGCAAACGGGCTTCCAGTGTGTGGATGTTGTTTAACTGCTGACAGTGAGACAGGGCTGTCCTAAGAGTCGCTGCCAACACTTCATCTATAAAATGCATTTCTCTGCTCGGTCGCTATAGTCTGCTGTCGTATTTGTATGCAGGTTATTTTCAGTTTAACTGCTGATGTTCATTCGTGTATTGTAGGTGAATGCGTTGATGATTGATCATAAATTAGTAAACTGGCCGTTTTTGTTCAATGATTCCTGTTTCATGTTCAAACCGTCAGACAGAAACTCTGCGTTTGTTTTTAATGTTCTTCAGCCTGTTGTTCTTGAGGTAATCTGTGATGCGTTCAATGACCCTCCACATGCTCTGAGGCTCATTTGAAGAGAAACAGAACTTCATCTTTAGAGCATAAGTGGGTTTTTGCCCTCTTTATGCCCGCGGTCAGGCTCTGTTTATTGTAGTATAACACTCATAGGACACAGTGACCCGCTGCACACACACTGCACACACACTGCACACAATGACAGCTGCAGAGTTTGTGTCTGATGTATTAAGTATGAAACACTGTTGGGTTAAAATCTGGTCAGAATGAATCCAGGTGCAGGTGTGTCAGTTTAGGACCACTGGACTAACATCCAAGTGCTCACAATATAAAGTGTATTCTGTAGTAACATCCTGGTGTTGCAGCAACAGTCCCACATGAAAACGTCAACACTCAAACTCAAAATCTCTTTTTGTCAACAATAAAATGACAGCAGACCAATTTGATCAAAGTTGGTAAAAAGCTTCAGAAATTAGTAAAATATTAAAAAGTGTCTGGATGCTCAATCATCCAGGTAAGGGTTAGGTTAGTAATGCTGTGATTGCAGACATTCCCCAACTCTCTGTGAATGGGACTCATGGCCATTGATCAGTGGTTGTTGATCAATGGTCATGACCTCCCAGCCATTGTGCAAATGTCCTGTTTATAAGGTTGGAAACCTGCAGTCAGCTGAGACTGAAGGAGTCACCTGGATGAGTCATGAAACGTTTCTCCCCACTGAAAACATCCAGATGAACAGAATCAACTTTTGGGGATTAAAACGTGTCTGAATCAATCAGTGGGTGCTGAGTGGGTCAGTCAGTGTGTCGCTGGGCTGATTTGTGTTTCCTCTGCAGGTGAAGGTAGAAAGTGTGTGTGAGCTGATGTGAATTGAGCAGCATGGATCAGTGTGAGGACAGAGAGGAGGGAGTCCCTCCCTCTAAAAGCACTCTGTGTGGGGAACATGAGAGCCAGACCAAAGCTCAGAGGTGAGATGACCATCTCTAACTGTCCATGACTCTTCTCCATGTCACAGCTCAGCACTCACATCACTGCTCCATCATTATTCACAGGAACCAGCCTGGACCTCCACCCAGCTGTGTGTCCTTAAAGAGTGACAAGTCTAAAGATGACATGATTTGGTTTAAAGTCTCTGCTGCAGAGAGGTGAGCTGTTAGTAACATGAACTCTCTGATTTAAATGATTTTGATGTTTCCTGGTTTCTAAAATGCATCTCTGTAGCAGAGCAGTGTCTCCAAGGACACACAGGCTCAGCTGTAACTGTCAGTTTATCTGGTTTAAGACACATTTGGACACAATTGGCTGTTTTTAACTATGTATTTTAATCAGAGGTGTAAATCTAGACCTCACACATCTGGATCATAAACTATGATAGAAACAGCTGCTAGCAGTGGGTAGTTTGACTTTGATACGCTGCTCTAGAAAGCAAACAAAGGTTTGTGCAGCTCCTCTTCAGAAAAGTGTTCAGAGAGCAGCTGCTGTATTAGACAAAGGCTCGTCCTGTGAGCCCAGATGTGTGTAACAGCTGGATGAAGGAGAACCATCACAGGCACGTCTCCATCCCGCCTTTATTAATGAACTTCCTGTTGCTTGCAGATGACAGGAACACAAAGTGTTTGTGCCACGTGATGCTGCAGGATTTGTTAATGTGTCCATGATGGTAACATCTCCTCGTCTAACTGCAAACACATGAGCGCTCCTAACGGCAGCTATCACAGCCACACAGGCACACTGTGTCTCACTGTTGCATTCAGGGACATTTGTTTTCCTGTAAAAAGCTGAACTCTAATCTAAGAGGACTGTTACTGACAGGAAACAGCTGCATTATCTGCAGTCTGTGTGATCACAGCTGCTTCAATCACTTCATCAGAGAATTGATCATTGAATAAAACATGTTTGTGTCTGCAGAGGTCAGAGGTCACAGTCTGCAGGATCCAGCTGTCCGTCTGTGAGGAGTGACTGGTCCAAAGGTCATCCTCTAAACTTCAGTGGTGAACCTGGACCAACGAGGTCAGAGACCTGTGATGACTCCTTTACATGTTTGTGTTTTCCTGGATAAATATGACCAAAGATTCATTAAAAAGGTAAAAATCTTAGACTTTGTCCTGTAGCGCTGTGTGGCAGGCAGGATTGGACCCAAACACAACAGGATGAAGTCAAAGAGGCAGCTTTATTTCAGCTGTGAACATGCAAACAGCAGAAATAAGGAAACATAACTGTAGGTTTGCACTGAATGAAGCCTCAGCTCGACACTCCACTTTGTCCCTCTTTTCCTTCTCCAAACAGCCACATCAGGAGTCTTTGATGGAGTTTGAAAATATTTAATTACAAATGTCCAAAGATGGGTTCAGGATTCCTGAATCCACAATTATTAAAGCTAAAATAGTTCACAGGGTTTGGACTTTGTTAGGTGTCGAGAGAACATCAAAGTGTTTTTTATCTTCAAACAGTATTTTTATCACTTCAGTTGCTCTCACAGCCCTGTTTGTTATTTTAGTAAGTAAGTAAGTAAAGTTTATTTATTAAGCGCTTTTCATAGACAGGTAGTCACAAAGTGCTGCACACAGAGATTAAAATAAACAGTACGATAAATAGCAAAATGCACAATATACACAATATAGAGTTTAAATGTAAATTAAAAATATAAAAATGTAAACAGCATTGGTCAACAGAAAGCTTGTTTAAACAGTAAAGTTTTTAACTGTTTTTTAAAGGATCCCACAGAGTCAACCAAACGTAGTTGTAGAGGTAGACTGTTCCACAGTCTTGGTGCCACAGACTGAAAGGCTCCGCCCCCTTTCATCTTCACACGTGTTCTGGGAGCAACCAACAAACTCTGAGTCTGTGAGCGGAGACAGCAAGCAGCAGTGAATTTAGTGAGAAGCTTGGATAAATAATCTGGGGCCATTTAGTATGGAACGCCAGGACTGCCATAATGAATTAATTAAATACACCATTAAATAATTAATTAAATGTGGCAATAATTAATTAAAATTGGAATGAATGAATTAAATAAATAGTTATGACACATGTAATTAATTAATTATTG